TTTTTTTTTTTTTTTTTGTGTCTGTTACCACTTTTTCTCAGATCACACCGAACCGATTTCTGCAATGATACGTCAAAAGATCACAAATCATATCTAGTCTAAGACATTACTCTCAAAAATTTTAAAAAAATCCCTCGTTCCCCATAACTAGGAAATTCCAAAAAAATTACAATTTTAAAAATCGGTAATTTTTGACATTTTTAAAAAAATTTTTCTTAAAACTGCCATAACTTTTTAGGTATTTAGCATTTTCTATACTTTTTTTTTTTTTAATTGAACCTTTCACTTCTACAAGGGGGTTTAAAATTTTTACATGCTTTTAGTAACTAGGACATTTCCATTTTAATTTTTGAAAGAGTTTCTGAAATATTGATATTTTTATATATTTCTTAAATTAATGCTTATTTAATATGCTTTAATTTGAAAAAAAAATTGACTTCTACACTTATCTTCACGGTGAATTTATACAAATTTATTAATTTTTTTACTATATTTGTGTGTAATACTAATGATCTATTACGATAAAAATTTAAAAAAATATTGAGCTTTTATGATAAATTTACTGTAAATATTAATTTCCTAACTGCATATTAATCTTAACAATACAATTTATGTTATTCTCAAAATTTTTTCTATTTAATGTTGTCAACTTAAAACTTGCAAGTAGAACTAAAAGTTATGGTAACAAATTCAACTTTAATTTATTATAAACTTTCACAAATTTTGCACTAATTATTTTAAACATGTTAAAAATTAATAATTTAAAAATAAATTTGGTGTTTGTTTTAATTATTATTTTATATGTTACTAATAATAATATCAAAAATTAGAAGTGTTAGAAAAAGTCAATGATGAAAATTCCTTGTAGTCTATTTATTCATAAGTAGTAAGAATGTTTTTTTTTTGTAAAGTAAATATTATAATTTTTATCATTAAAACTGTTATAAAATTATAAAATTTTTTTCTTTTTAGGTCGGGAAAATAAAACAATCGCAATATTGAAATGATTATTTTAAACTTTATTACAATAGGATAATTAGAAATAATTATTTTAATATTTGAAATATTAACTGGTTTGAATAAATAATAAAAGACGAAATAAACTCGTGAAATTAAAAAAATATCACATAATTTGTGGGTTTTTTCGGTTTTTCTTGTTATTTAATCGTTTAAACTAAAAATAAACTATATCACAGGACTCCCAGTAAAATTTCAACACAAATTGATGGGTCACACTAATGTGAAATTTTTTTCCAACTTTGAACCCAAAATTCAGGGGAGGGCGCAAGTTACAAAAAATCGAGTGACCACTCAATTTGTATGAGAATTTTGCGGGAAATATCGTGGTATGATTTATTTTTAATTTTAGAGAAATTCGAGGGGGTTATTCCAAAATTCCTCCAATTTTGGAAAAAAAAAAACGAGATCCTATTTTACACTCCACCAGGATACTCGCCAATATATTACTATGGTTCGAAAGATTTACACCCTGTATAGAACTTACCTTTTTTCATTGATATTCTCTTACCGCATAACCCACCAGAACCTTCTCTCCACTTCATCCACCTGCAATTAAACCAGTGTTCTACATTCTTGTCAATACCACCGTTTTTTTGCATAAATGATTCTGAATACTTAAAACTTTCCATCTCCCTTATCATGTCCACGCTTATTTTCATTGATCTCCTCATTTCACTTACTTCGAGTTCTTCTCGTGTGCCTTTTTCTCATTAATGCCCACTTTAAAACCTCTCTTAGTACTTTATTAGATACTTTCTCCAAATCTATAAATACCATACAAAGCGTTTTCTTCTTTTCTTTATACTTTTCTATTTGTTGTCTTACACAAAAAACTGGTTCCATCATTGACTTTCCAGGCAAAAAACTAAACTGGTTTTTTGTTACTTAAGTGTCTCTTTTATTCTTTTGCTTATTACCTTAGATAAGAGGATA